GAAATTTTGATTTCTAAATGACTGGAAATGTCACTTTGTTAACTTCTGAGGTGTATTATTAGTGGCTTTTAATTTCCTCAGAATTCAAGGTTTTCCTCCTCTTAAAAACAATCAGGCAAAAGCAGGATATGATTTGATGCATCAAAGTAGTGGGGTTTCTTATTCCCAAAAAATGGCATGATACTTCAAATTTGAGTAGAAGCATGAAACTTATGTATGTCAACTCACATTTTCCACTATTTTCATGTTTGTAGGACGTACATTTACTTACTTAAATCTACAGTACATAGGAAGAAGCAAAGTGACCAAATTCTTCAGTAATTAGCAATGCAGTAGCACAGAGAACTCTAGTTGTTTTTGTTAGTGATTAAAAGTCATGCATATTCCTATAGGGGTTAGTGCATTTGTCCGAAGGTCAAGTTTGTTTTTTTGGTTTTTTTTCTCGAACTAAGCTCAGACTGAAATTCCTTGATATCATACTTCTATTCTAGCAGGTCGACCCACTAAATGTTCAAATAAGTTGGAAAAATATTTGGTATTACATGTATATTTCAACCAATAAAATAGTCACATAAACGTCACACAATTATTTCATCAGGGATATCTCGTTATTTTCCCGGCGTACAGCGGTGAACATGTATTTCTTATAGGGCTGGCATAGTACGCAAATATCTCCTAAAGTATTCAGTTTTGGGTACATGTTCCTATTAAAGTTGAATAGGAAGTAGTACTTCTCCATCATTTTCCACTATTTTTATGTTTGAAGGACGTATATGTCTCGAGTTATAAGGAATCGGCATTTTCTGAGGTCAAAGGTCAAATCTGAAATGCTCTCAAATCTTAAAATTGTTGAATTGCCGATGTGAGTTTGTATACCAAGTTTCATGCTTCTATCCCAATTTAAAGTATCAAGGGTCTAAGGAACCCCACTAAAGGGGGAAAATGACCCAAAAAAGAGAATTTAAATGCAGGAGTATCAGAAGCTAATGTGGGCCTAGACGTATCACACATAACCTCTGCTATACTGTCATCAGTCCTGTTGATCTGTATTTAAGAAATATGAGGCCTGTAGGCATACTGTAGAACAACATTATGCTCATGAAAATGTTTGCATTTTCGGCCTAATAATAAAAAAAATGTATCTTCATATTCCTATGCTCTTGGAAGAACAATAAAAACAACATAGAAGACAATACTAAATAATGTTCGCCGTCCTTCGGATGGCGGTAATCAGAGCAAACTAAAGGCAAAAGACTGATTACAAAAAAGTATTTCATATC